TGGAACATGTAAGCTTTTTACTGCTCCATACCAGCACTGATTGCCTCAGAGATTTTATCAGCAGAATAGAATGAATTAATGAATCTATGTTAAAGGTATAAAGATTATCAAGGTTATAAAGATTCATGAATTTTCAATATCAAGTGATTTATCAATTTAGGAGTGTTTGGTAAATAGTTATTAGCTGATTGGGTTAGTGAGTTTGACTAGTTAATAACATTAGCTGATTGTAGAAAAGTATTTTGTAAATTAGTTGTTAGCTGATAGCTGATTACATGCATGCAAAATGACTTTCGCAAAAAAGTTGATCGAAAAAACTGGTTTAATTTGAACAATTTTTTGAATTTTAACATTTTGGAGTAATAAACTGTTATAAAAAACTAATTAATCAAACATTCATATTGATTATTTAACCAAGTCAAACAGCTAATAGTGGTCATATAAGTCAAAATTGACTGATATAGGCTTAAGGATACAGGCTTGGGCAGCGTTGATGTAGAAACGGATTCTCAAACTCTCTATGTCTCTTTTTCTAGTTCCTCTTTTTATTCAGCATTTGGATTACTTATAGACGATATTAAAGAGTTGGCATCTTCTATTGGTGATGTCCAATTTCGTTTTGTAAGGCGATCTGCGAATCGTGCCGCCCACATTATTGTCCGGGAAGTCTTTTCTGAGTCAGGTTGCGGGGAGTGGTTTGATAATCCTCCTCAGTTGTTATTTGTCTGGCTGATGATTTAATGAATTGATCTTGTCTCTTCAAAATAGGACCTTTATTTTATTATAGCATCTGTCAGTCTCAATTGCACAACATGCTACTAATTGTCAAGATCAAGTGTTTATCACTATACTAAAAGTTATAGTTAGTAGAGAAGACACAATTTTTATTTCTTTATACTTACCTAACAATCAGCGTCGTCATGTTTCAATGACAAAATGCTAGACTCGGTTCTCGGCCCAACGTATGTATTTCACAATTCGTTCTATTTCCTTTGAATTTGTATAATTATTTTCATTCCGTATTTGATGATAGAAACAAATTTCTAGATTCCATCTTTTTCTGCGTGGATATGCAAAACAGCAAAAAGGTTTTGTAATGTAAAGTTATGGTTAAGGTACATGTTAGGTATATAACTACTTTAATTTACTAACTGAATTTTGTTGATACTAATTCAATTCCATCAAATATTATAACAAGTAGACCAAATGAAGCTATATCTAGTCAGATGGATGTAGATAAGTTTACACTACTAGTCTTGCACAATAATTCTCAGACAAGTATTTAGTCTTTATGTACATATTTGTGTGGATTTCAATAAAAATAATCTTAAAATATAATATTAAATAAAAATGATTAATTTGGTTCGAATTTGACCAAAATATTAATGTTTTTGGTCTATGTTGTATTATTAGTCTAAGCTAAGTGACGTTTTAGTCCCACTCTCCCCATCTTGTTTGTTTGTTTGTTTTTTTAAGAAAAATATCCGTGTTATCTAAACTTATAATTAAAATAAATCTTAACCTAGTATTTTATTCCTTAAACTTATAATTAAAATAAATCTTAACCTAGTATTTTATTCCTTAATTTATTTGAGAGAAGAAAATCTCAATTTTTTTTGAATGCTACTGGCTAGTGCCTCTATTACAATATAGTTTCCTATTGAAACACAAAGAACCAATAACACCTCCACTGAAGCTCAAACTCACAACCTTCTAAATGGAAGTCCAAGCCAGGTACCTTTAGACCAAATAGTCTTGGTAGAAAACCTCAAATTTAATTACATGAATATAGTACAATTATTGTCAACCGTATCTAGAAACAACAAATTAAAAAAGCGTGACACTCTTGATGGAATTCCAAGTAAACAAAAGCTATATGCGAGATAATTATGATGTATAGATAATATTCAATATGTATGCGTAAATATTGGCTTGTTGTAGTTTTTTTTTTTTTTTTTTTTGGGTGAGATTGCCCCACTCAAGGCGGGTATTAATTGATCCTTCTGAACCTAGCTCCGCTGGCATCGATAGAAAGGAGCCCCAACATGTCCTCTGGTGGATCATCTAAGACCGTGGTACCCCTTGTTGTAGTTGAATCTATTTAATTTTTAGCTTTACTAAAACATGTAGGAGGTGTTTTTCCCAAAAAAAACATTTAAGAGGTGTTTGGTTGGATAGAAAACATTTTCCTTGGCCACCTCTTTGATATTTTGTTTTCCAAAGAAAACAAGGAGGACAATTATTTAATTACCATTATTATTATTGTTGTTATTATTGTGTAGGGATATAATTTTCATTATACTCATTATTTCTTACAATTCCAAAATCCAACCAAATACTACGTAATAGAATTTATACTCTTAGTAATTTTTTTTTCCACCAACCAAACAATGGAATTTTTATATTCCCAATAATTTCAATTTCATTTCCCCTCCAAATATTTTTCAGCGAACCAAACCCACTGTTAAGGAATTATATATATTTTAATTTTGTACCCAAGTTTTGTCTGTCCTTTTTGATGTGGTGGGAGTGGGGGTAAGGTGGTGGGGGTTTTGCGTGAGGTGAAGATGTTTACAACAGTGTGCTATAGGAAATGCTAGGGACAAAAACAATAAAAGCTGAAACCTTCTAGGAGATAGAATAATAAGTCATTTATGGATCCAAGGTAATGTAAAACTGTTCAATTTACTGTTCTCTATCTGTATTGCAAAACAACAGATAGATATATAGGATGTTCAATTATCAAAATTTTTAACATCTCCGAACAAATCTTTACTTCAAACTACACTTCTATATTTGCACATATCCCCTCTATGGCTACTAAAGAGAAGCTCACTCTAGCCCGCACGGACTTATAAACTCATTGATTCAGTATGTAGTATTTGGAAGAAGAAATGAAGTCCACTCAAAAAACGACAAATCACTTTTTATTTGACATTAATAAGTAGGAAGTAACGTTATAAAGTAAATAGTAATGAAGAAGATAATTTATATTTAATGATGTATATTGAAGAGATTTTTCAATGCAGTTCACATATATATTCTTCAATGCAATTCACATATATACGCCCCTAGCTAAATTCAACTCTTTTAAAGATTTTTTCTTTTTTAATGCTATAAATTCACTTTCAGACCATATTCAATCATGTAGCGTTAAGAGTAAGGGAGGGTCTACAGCTTGATAAGGAGAGGGGGTTCCGGAAGTTGGTTGTTGAATTGGATTCTGAAGCGGTGGTGAAGGTGATAGGTGAGAATTACAAGGTTAATGACTTTTTTCATTACCCTCATTTATGATTGCAGGTTAATTTCTAGCTTCTATCTTTGACGAGGTGGCGTTCACACATGCGATGATATAAGGCAATAAATGTGCGAACTTTCTGGCAAATCTTGATTAGACTAAGGATACGGGAACAACTGTCTTAGAAAGTACTCCCATAGACATCTTGGGGCTCATTTCAGCTGATGCGAATGGTGCTAGGTCTAGAAGGGTCAGTCAGTTCCGCCCTAAGCTAGGCGGGGGCGTTCTCACCAAAATAAAAAATAAAAAATGTAGCGCTAAGACTCACTCATACAAAGTTAACTAAATACTCCAGCCATGTGTCTGATTTGATTAACTTCGTTTTTATTGAAGTTATTTAATTTTTTGTAACATTTAATTAGAGTTAGTGTATATATTTAAAACTATATGAAAAATACTATTAAACTAAAAATGTAGAAGAGTAAGTCTTGTATTAGACCGTCTCACATAAGAGGTATAATACTTTTTTTAGCTAAAATAATATATGGAGTAACATTTTACAAATATAAGAAATGGTAAAGAAAATAACAAAAGACGGAAGAAATTAGATTGATGAATAAATAGTAAATGTGACATGTAAAGTGTGTCAAATAGAGTAATTATTAGAACTTAAATGTTAATAATATAGTTTATTTCTAAATAATGATGAGCTACAAATTAAAGTTCAATTTTATATTTGGATCACAACCATTATCTCTACATCATTATTTATTATGAGCATCAACACAATCTAACTAATGCTTTTTTAAAAAAAAAATAAAAAAATAAAAAAAATTCTAACGAACATTGAGTTGTGATATATTATATATTGAGATAAAATAATATTAGTTCCTTAATTAGAAATGTAAAATCTTATTAAGTAAATAAAAGATTAATGACAAAATAATAAATAAGACAAATAAATTGAGATATATAGATACTGGTTCAAACGCAAATAGTGTTTCCCATGTGGATTCACCATCAGGTATGCATAAATGCACCAATGCGCCACAAAACGCACCACACACCAAAAAATGCACCACACCTATTGATGTATTTTTGAACACTTTGTGGTGCATTTATACATACTTAATAGTGAGTGACTGCACGACAGTACGGGAAGCACTATTCGCACTATATATATATATATATATATATATATATATATATATATATATATATATATATATATATATATGGATATGGTTATGATTAATTAGAGGAAAATAGAAAGAAGGGTTTGGTGAGAAGGCGCAGCAGCAGGTAGCAGGAGGGTGCAAATAAAGCTTACTTGTTTCAGTGCACTTTTGATAGGGTGTGAGATCTGAATTCTTTCGGCTGGGAATCAGATTTTGATGAGCTTTTTAGCAATTAGCTATCTTTGCAGCGTATTAGGTAAAGTGGCCCTTCCAAATACATTACAAAATTGCACTAGGGGTTCAACTAAGCCACACCATGAGCTAAAGAGATAAAAAAGAATCTTACTTTAATATAATATCATTTTTCTAATTAAATAATATTCATAAAAAAAATTTATTTTTATTCTTATCCATAAACAATTCCACAAGCCCAAACAAACAAAACACTTGAGATGCATTTAAAAAAAAAAAAAAAAAAAAAAAAAAAAAAAAAAAAAAGTACCACAAACTAACATGAGGTGTAGCCATCCATATCTTAGTGATGATGATCGACTACGTACACTCACATATATATATATATATATATATATAGAGGAAATTTGAAGGGTTTTAGAAACATAGTTGCTTACTAAAACCACCAAATAATATATAATGGTAATGTTGTTTTGTTTGATGAAACTTATTAATGGTCTAGCTAGGAAGCATAGCTCAACTTTAATAGCTAGGAGTGAAAGAAGTACCATGTTGAATGCTTTGAAAGTTTGAAGTTTGAAAGTTGATTTTTTTTCCCTCTTTCAAGGGTCAGATCGAAACCCTAGAAGGAGAAAGTGATAGATAGGGCAGGCGAGGCATATTGATTGTGTGTATAAATTCATTGAAGCTTAAGCACTCCCTTCTCCTCCTCCTTGTGGGTAATTGTTGTTTTCATCATCCCATGGGAAAGGGTAATTAGGGTAGTGCATGCCCATGCTCATTCTCCGGCGGAGGCCTTGCGGCGGCGGCGGGGCCATCTGGGGAGGAGGAGGCGGCGGCGCGACGTCGTTGCAGGCGTAGCGGATGAGGTCGGCGTTGGCGGCGTCGAGCTCCTTCTGGAGGCGCTCGACCTGTCGCTGGAGGTAGGAGATGGCGCCGACGCAGCCGTAGACGGGGTCCCTGACACGCGCCTCCGCCTCGTACGCCAGGGAGCTCACCGCGTCCTCCCTCTGGTGCGGGAGGAGCTCGTTCAGGAGCTTCGTCACGTTGCTCGCCCCGAAGATCTTGTGCACGTTCGCGAACTTCTGCGGCTCCTCCGGCGGGAAGTACGGCGCGAAAATGCACCCCGGCAGGCACTTCCTCCTCAGGAACTTGCAGGCGGCGCATGGCGAGCTGTACGAGCTTGATGAAGCCATTTCAATTTCTCTCTCTTCAAACTGCACCATTATACATGCATAAATACATCCATCAGCACATAATATATAACCATAAATATGCACTTTTAGTTGAGATGAGATGAAAGCATATGCTTCAATTTGAATTGGTATCAGAGCAACTACATGCAAGAAATTTTAGTTGAGATGAAACACATGTTTCAATTCGTACACACAGATATACATCCACACATACGTGTATGTGTGTGTGTATTTCTTCGTTGTACTCGGATCGGAGCATTCCCTTATTATGCAAGAGTGCAAGGTAAGCTCCTGTATCCACAGCTCATTACAATTGTGGGATTGAATTGTGAACATATCCATCACACATTATGATGTGTTCATCATCTACAATTTTGTTGCCATTATTGGTATCTTCTAAAGCTTTGATACATAAGTTTTCTTGGAATGTTTCACAAATTACACTATCTGGTGGGTTTAAGTGCTAAATAATGTTATATCCATTTTGTGTAATGAAATAAGTAGTGTGCTTTCCTTGTAGCTCAAGGTGCTTTTTCAAGTAAAACCATAATCTTTTCCAAGTATAGTAGTTATATATATAACAGAAATGAAATCCTCTTCATTATTTTTTTTTTTAAAATTATGCTCGTGTTTTTTGGGTGTAGCTCAGGGTTTCCACGGTCGACACAGTGACTAATTTTCACGTTGAATTGCAGGTACCTTTATTGGGTGGGACAGTTGGCCGGGAGATTTAAGGTTTGAGTTATCCTGACAAAAAAAAAATTATATGAGCAGTAAATTGTGACTGTTTATTCTGCCACATAAATTTCTCAGCTGGCCTGGACACAATGTTGAAGTGACCTAAATCTCAATTATGTTGTTGTTCTTTAATTAACCCTTAAGGCCTTTCACTCTATATTAACACACATAAATAAAGTAAAATTCTTTAAGAAGACAAGCCTGATAAACACACAAATTTCTTCAAGATTATAATTTGCTGGCTAATTTTCCTCTATATTTCTTTCTTTTTATTTTTTAAGAAAAAAAAATTCTTAACTCTTGTACTATACTTTAAAAGCTAAGAGTGAAGCTAGCTCTGCATGCTTTCTTCAAATCCTGTGTCCTTTAGTCTCATGCAAACCAGAAGAAAGATTAGAAATAAACCCAGAAAAATGAAAAAAAAAAAAATATGTTTGCACTGTTGATTTTGCAGAGTCCAATGTATAGGAAGGAGTGAAGTGTCGGGTTTAAACTGTTAAATGTGAGATCTGACATAGCAAAACAAATTTTTGAAGAATTTTTAGCTTTTATTTTTTTCACAGCCTTTCTCACCTTGAATCCCAATCCAGGAACAGAAAAACCCTAGATCATATATAATTGAAGTGCAACATAAAGCATATAGTAGTATCTCTGTAGCCTTTACTTATCCCAAGGAAACCCCAGTGTGGGAAGAAGAGAAAAACAAAACAATAAATGCAAAAAGCATAGAGGGAATGAAATATAATACCTTTTAATTCTTTTGCAAGAACTTTGATTTTGCTACTTTGAAGTTTGAAGCAGTGAAGGTTATGAGGTTCAGAGTTTTGCCACTTCAAAGGGAAGGAAACCCTAATTGAAGAAGAAGAAGAAGAAGATGATGAAGATGAAGGAGAAGAGAGGAAGAGGCTTATGTGGCTCCTGAAAATTCAGTGCATATATATATATACAGACACACAGATATATATGTATGTATGTATATGTAAGTGTAAAGAAAAGGTGAGAAGGGAAAAGGAGGCAAAGGGCATTTAGTGATGGAGAAGGAATGAAGGCAAAAGACAAATGCTAGTAATAAATGGAAGGTACACTAAGAAAAAGATGACTATGACCTTGCATCTAATAATAATATCCTGGCTGCCTGTGGGGATGTCTCCCATTTTGCCTTCTACCCTCTCTATTCCCCCCATTGCCTCTTTCTCATGCATTGCATCTTGGGAGAATGCAAAAAACTCCATTTACTACACAAGAATATATAATCATGTCATTCTAAATTTTACTTTCTCATAAAAAAAAAAAAAAAGGTTGTGTAATAGTGCTAGAGCTTCTCAAACATTAACACAATATAATTTGAACCATTACTTTCCAACATATTCTTTTAAAGGTTTTAATTGTGATTATGAGGTAGTGTCTTAATATCATTTGGTTTATGCCAAACACTTTGTGCTCAGATGGCATGTAGTGACTCTCCCATATGGGAGGTCATGAGATCAGCTCAGTAGAGGCGGTGCTGACTCTTTGTGTTTCAACAGGCTAAGAAAGTATAGATGAACAATTTATATTTTATGTTGGGTGGTGGCTTGGAAAAGCCTAATTCAGCATGCTGTCACTCGAAATATATATTGACTGCTAAGTATAAAGAAATAAAGTTACATTTTCGCTACTAACTATAACTTTTGGTACAATGGTACGCAGTTTATTTGCCAATTAGTAGTAAAGTTGAGGCTTGTCTAGTAGGCGCGAATTGTTGGACATCGACTTAGTGGGTAAATTATATTATAGACCATGGTCCACATACATTGCAATGTGGACCATGAATAAACGTTCATTTTTAATATACTTAAGGTAGATCATTTGTGTACTGAAGGTTCATTCTTTGATAGTACATACCAAATGGTGAATCTTCAGTACCCATATAATATACCTTTAAAAATGATCATTTAGTGTATTAGAAATGTACATTTAGTATATTAAAAATGTACCTTTCGTCAGTGATCCACCTTACAATGTGATTCATGGTTCATGGTATATAATGATTGGGTTTTGCGGGTCAAGTACATCATCCTGTCAACAAGTTCAAATCCCATTGAAGACATGTCAACAAGTTCAAATCCCATTGAAGACATGTTGTGCAGTTGAGGCTGGGGAGAGATTGTTATGCGGAAGCTTGGAAAGAGTCTAGTCCAGTCAAAATTTTAAACTTGTCACCTAATTAAACAACATAGTAATTATGGAAGGTTCAAGCCTCAGTAGAGGCTGTATTGACTTTTTGTGCTTCAGTAGGTTGAGAAAGTAGTTATGAAGACATGAGACAACTAAAATGAGATGCATGGAGGAAGCTAGGTAATTTGTTATGTTCATTTTATAAAATTGTGATTTGTCGGAACCAACATTTTATTTAAACACTTACGGAGTATTTTTTTTATTTTTTATTTCAACTAAAGGGGAAAAATAGTGATTTTTGAAGGAAGGAATCAAAACATATATATTCCTTTTCACAAAATCATATTGCATAAAAGATGAATTCCCTTTTGTTTGTTCGTTCTATCCTCACATGTAACAATTATAGCCGAGCAAACGGAGGCCAAGTGCCTAGTCTGTAATTTTATTCTTGAAAAATATTATATGTATTTCTATTTTCTACTCTTAATTTTTATTCGCACATTTAAAATTTTGATGTAAAAACTTTTACAGGAACTCACGTAAAGAAAAAAAAAAAGCTATCAATATAATGCCCGTCACATTAGAAGGGAGTAAATCCGAAAAAGTAAGATTCGGGAGTATAGAACTCTTTATTGTTTTAGTCAAATAAACTGTGTTTACAGTGGCCAACTCATTTTTCTTCTGCCTGTCTATTGTCCTCTGTCCTTTTTGAGAATATGGTTTGAGCTTATGTGCTTGATTATTGCTGCATTTGACTACACCCAATCCTTCCAAATCTTGCTGCCTCATCAACAAAGATATGTGATTAATTTGAATTTTGAGCTGAAAGATGGACTATACATATATATAATAGCTAGCTAATAATCCATATATAAAGATGCACTGTGTACTTTTCTTCAGATATCAAACCCACAGATTTTATGAATAGTGTAACAGCAATGTAAGGTTTTGATTTTCTTCTTCCCCAAAAGGTTGAATCCACAACCCGACCTGATAGAGAATTTGGGAGAATGTAAATCATGTAAATTACAATGACTTAATGGCTCAGCAGACATGGCCAAATGTCGGTGCGCACAAGAAATCTACTCACTTTGAGCATAATCCCCACACCGCTGCCAAAATGCGGACATGGATCCGTGAGACGAGCTCACATATATCAATAAAATGGGAAAATGCCTGGAAAAGAAAGCTATAAACCCTGAATGGACATCATATAATTTCATGCTCTCATAGAATGAATACAATATAGTCATTCTATTATCAATTTACTTCATCAGTTGCATATGTTGCTACACATTTATTTGTCTCAGTTTGTTAGGCAGAGGCAATAATGCTAATTAAATTGGAAATTTCTATGTGCGAGAAAACTTGTTTCTCTTTTAGTAACCTTAGCTTCCCCAAATGGTTGAATCCCAACCTCCAACGATCCCACACCCCGTCCAGACAGAGTATTTAAGAGGATGTAAATCACAATAATTCAATGGCTCTCGAACTTTAAATATTGGTCTCTTCTATCAAATACTGCCTACTGAACCATTGAGCTTAGTCCGTGCGGGCTTTTTTTAATTGAAGCATGTGCTTCATCTTCAATTAAAAGTCTAAGCTAATAGTTGAATTGCACATTAATGATTATATGCTCAGCCTCTTTTAGTAATCCTCTATAGTATATATACATGTTGCCAGAAATTTTGTTTAATTTGTTCATTAGTTTGAGTGTGCACTGATGCCGCATAATTGTATCATTGTGGATGGTAAAATATAGAAGATGTTGGCATGATTAAGTTGATTATTCAACATTATTATATCTAATGATTTTAGAGTTTTGATACTTTTTGACCATTTACCAATCAATCATAAGATCATTAAATCTTGGGCGCAAGACTGACTCGATCAGATATTCAGATCCTTGGTTCCCGCAAATATCACCTTAATATATCCAAAAATATTGTTGCCGCTAACCAAACTCATGGATTTAACAGAATATATTTAATGCATTATTAACTGAGTAATGAGTAACATATTACCAATTTTGCTGATATATATGTGAAAGTAGTAAATATTTTAGTATTTTGTTGAAAAATAGTACTTCTGGTATCGGGTGTGACCATCTATTTGAAATGATAAAAGATGTGTCATTATTATGTGACCATCTACATAATAATTGACTAATATAGATTAAAGTTTTAATAATATAATTGAGCTGTAAATTTTGTTATAAATAACTGTAAAATAGATTTTGATAATGCAATATAAACTCATTAGGAAATTAATTAGAACACCCAAATCACCTTATTATTTAATTTCTAGATTTTAAAGCCAAAAGGTAGACTATCTATCAAGTTAGTTTATCATTTAGCACGAAATCAAGAGTCAAAACAATAAATATATTAAGGTCTCAAATCACGCAAAAAAGATTATCTAGCAAAGAAACTATTTCGTAAAAGCAATTGTTATGAATAAATGTAATTATATTTGATGAGTCAATTTGTAATATAGGAATAGATTTTAGACTTCCAAACTTTAGTTTTATATTTTAGTTGGTGCGTAAATCATTAAAGTGTGTTTGGAAACTCGGAAAATGATTTCTGAAAATCATTTTTCGAATTTTTAGTGTTAGGCAAGGAGGAAAATACTAAAGTCAATGGAAAATAAAGTTTGGTTAATGAAAAATAGAAGTATTTTTACGGAAAATGGCTTCCCTTTTTTGGGGGAAGTCATTTTCCGCTTCTTCTTTGCGACATTCACCAACGCCAACTTCTAGAATAAAACTTTCACTAATGTCAATACTTAAACGCCACTTTCCCGGCAACGGCGCCAATTTGATTGCAGTATAATTTCAAACAAATAATTACTCGGAGTAACGAGTTATTGATTCACAAGGAAGTTGGGCATATCAAGCACTAGCTACTAATTTATTATTATGAAGTTAATCCTAATGATTATCATGGATGTTTGATTAAAACAATTAAAAGAAAACAAAGTATGCAGGTTTGTGAAAACAGTAGAGAGAATGAGATTCCTGGGATTCAAGTATTTCATCACCTAGTGCCAAACTTAAGAACACTATTAAATCTGAGTTTAAACAAGTGTGAGAATGCAATTAGGGGAAAGAGTTACTGGGTAATCTCTTAAGTGAATATTCGCTCCCGAGATATAAACACGTACACAACAATATAATAACAAGCATTCATAATAAATTCTTAACTACTGTCATCTCCCGATGTGCAATAATCAAGAATTAAACTCCGATCCTTAACCAATTTACTCTCTCTCAAGGTGCAACAGTTAAGTGCATTGTGTGTATGCTCTAAATTATACCTAACTCCCGTTATAACATAAAGATAGCTAGGAAACAAGTAATCATGACCACTAATTACAAGCATCAACAACATAAATCACATTTGCAACACAAGTATAAAATCCAAATATCAATATATTAAGAATCTAAGAAGCATGCACATAGCTAGGTTCATAAACACTTTATACCCAAGAATCTCTAAGGGAATTTAGCCAAGCATGGCTAAATTATTCATAGCAACTATAATAAAGAGTTTACAAGTAATCAAAGAGAGTAAAAGGATAAACCAAGTGATTCTCCCAAATCTCCCTAGCTTTTCTTCTTTCTTCCCAAGACAACTTGTAGCTCTTGACTATATTCTCCTCTTTCTTGTCTCCAAAACGCAACTTAGGACCCTTCTAGGGTTGAGGAAGGCGTCGACACGTCGAGTTTAGGAAGTTTCCGCACCCAAAACATTCCAAAAAACTGCCCAGAATTCTCAACGCGTCGAGTTTCAGGGCAGATTTTCGCGCAACTTACCAGAAGTTTTCAACGCGTCGAGTTTGGTGCTGCATATCAAATTGTAGCCCTTCGAGTCTTCTTTCCAATGGCACAAGAGTCACTTGAATCGGACATTACTTGAGTGAGATATGATCAAAATACTAAGGTGTCGCCAAATTCAACAGGAATTACAATTCTTTGATCTTTTGCTCCACTTTTCCCTTGTTTTGTTCTTGTGATCCAATCCATTGAAAGTACCACTCTTTGACTCTCTTTGAAGTAT